AATAGAGATATTGTGTCCTGTCTGGAAATTGGGGAGAGAGAATGGATAATTTCAGTTGAGATGTTAAAAATAATTATTTATTATTATAATTATTCATCAGTTCTGTAGACGGGCCTCTTTTTTTTTTTCCAGGAGAAAAGGGTGCAGAAAGACCCAGTCAATAATACCCCATCACTGCCTGGGTATAGTGTACTCACTAGACAGCTAGGATCAGCTTACATCCAGGTACCATTGGGCCAGCCCCTTTACTTGGGCTGTATCATTTCAGGAGATGTTCAACTGCAGGAAATAGAAAGCCCAACCAGCAGCTGCTTAAACCATAGGAACATACTCTGTTTATTTATTTAACAAGAAGACAAGTGGTTCAAAGCCCTAATTCCAAGATGGCTGGACTTCCTCAGAGTCTCTAGAGTTCTCCTGCCATTTCTCTTAGGTTCGCAGAGTGGCTTCCACAATTGCAGGTGCCGCATGCTCACATAACAACATCCCAAGGCAGAAAGAGGGGCTGCCGGAGTGGTGAGAGAATTTCTTTATTTGACAAAGAAAGTGCGTTTCCCACAAGCCCCCAGCAGCCTGCCCCTCACCTCCCGTGGGGCCACTTGCAGCCACAGGGCAAGGGGACAGAGGGTGCCTGGCTCTCCAGCTCTGGGGCTGGAAGCAGGTACTGGAAAAAAGGATTGGACTGGCTGGTGGGTAGCCATTCCCACAGAGATATCGTCAGGCCACGGGGACTTCTAAGAGGAAGCCATTTCCAGACAGTAGCAAGGCCCAGCCCTGTGCTTGGATGCAGCCGGTGACTGGGTTTCCTGAACTGTTCAATTTAACATGCATAACCGATTTCCTCTTCCTGCCTCTGCCCGGCCTCCTGTCTGGGGCGCGAGATCCATCCTCCTCCGAGTGTAAAATCCTTATTATTTTATTTGTCCGTTGTTTGCTGGTCCCTCTTTGCTGTCTCCAATATTTTTTGTTTCCATTCCTTGCCTGGCTGGGACTTTTTGATTTATCCCATCGCTGGAGGTCTGTCTGAGAAGGCAGTGGAGATTTATCCCCCTCCGTATTTCAGACGCTCGGAGCAGGGGCCGCCTTGTCCCCTGACTTTAGGGGAGCCATCCATTATGGGGTGCCCCGCTCAGCCTGCCCGACCGGAGAAGGCGGACTGGATTCAGGCCACAGAAGAGTGGCTTCGTTGAGAAGACACAACTTTAAGTTCCTCTTCTGAAAAGAGATTTATCTGCAGCATCGGCTCCTATTTGCCACTGCCTTGTCTCAAGTCTTTATTACGTGTCCCTTGAACGTTGCAGTGGCCTCCTGATTGATGTTCCCGTCACCGATCCTTCCTCCCTGCGAAGATATTTCAAGATACCCAGAGCCACTGCTCCTCGTGTACTTAAGTGGCTTCCCACTGTAAACAAAATAACACGCAAACGTACTCGTGTGGCACTCAGGCTGGTTTTTGGCGGAGATCTGGCACAATCACTACTCCAGCCTCATAGCCCCCTGGCTCCGGCCACGCTGGTCCACTCACCACCGCCTTCCTGTCACCCGTGATCTCTCACCCCGGCTTCTCTACTCACCCACTCTTGCTGCGGGAACAGTGTGCTGTCCACCTGTCGGTGGAAATTCTTCCCATCTCTAGTGGATGGAGGGCGTGTCCCCCTTGGCCAGCGTGCACACTTGACTCTTGGGGAAGCAGCACCCTTACTTTGCAGACGGTTGTGTGCAGTGGGGTGGGGGGCGGTCACAGCGAGCTGTCCTTCCTTAGCAAGGGTGAGACCCCAGCCAGGCCAGCCCTTGGTGACAGCCGTGCCTTCAGTGCGGCCTGTTGTTCTTTATCGTCTTCGTGGGCCTCTCCCGGCTGGGCTGTGACCCCGCTCCTCTCTGGGTCCCAGCACCTGCCGCAGGAGGCCCAGAGGGAACGGGACTTGAACGCCCTGCTCCTCCCTCTGCCCCACTGATCCCCCCCGGGCTCTGACCCAGGGTGCCCGGCTGTGTTGCAATTCCTCTCACATCCCCCCGGCCGCCCTCGCCCCTCCACACACTGGCACACACACTGTAAGTTTGGGTTCCGGGCCCAGGGGCACTGGGGTGAAGTGTGGCCAAGTGCTGAGGCACCGGTGAGGAGAGTGTGACTAGCAGAGAAGCCGTGAGGGGCGGTGGGCCAGGCACGGGCTCTGGGACATCGCACGTCATTGGGAACCTCAACACAGCCGCGCTGCGCGTTATCCGTCAAGGGGGCTGATGACAGGACGTGGTTTCCGCCGAAGCTGTGGAAGTGGACGAACGCACGCGCCCTTCTCAGGTCGGTGGCGGCATCCGGCAGGTGTTAACTAAAGAGAGGAAATGAGCTGACATGTCACGAGGGATCGATTGGCATTTTCTTCTCAGGCCGCAAAGGAGAAGAAAATTCCAGAAGGAAAAGAAAGGGTGCTGACACACACGGGGTGCACGAAGGGTGTGGCCTTTTGGGGGGATGGTAAGAAGTTCACTGTGGTTGAAGGTTCATGGGTGCGGCCAAAACTGCTTGTGGCTGAAGTTTCGGGAAACGTTCTTAAAAGACAACTGTCCGGGATCCTTTACCCCTCCTTCATCCCTTCCTCCATCCTCCTGCCTGGAACACAGACGCAAAGGCTGGAGCTGTAGCCACCACCTGGGACCATGAGGTCTTGCAGCGCAGTGAGCTCGAAGGAGCCCGGGTCTCCAAGCATTTCATGGAACACAGCCCTGGATTACCTGTCTGTGGGTTTTCTTACAAGGCGAAAATAAGCTCCCTCATTTGAGTCACTATTATTGTGGATTTCTGTTCTTGCAGAAGAATCTAATCATGGAAGTGATGGGATAGGGTAGTAGGCCATTGGAAGCAAACTGTGAGGGAAAAGGTATTTACAGGCCAACAAAGGAGTTTAGGCCTCAGTGGACCAGCAACCAGAGTTCTCCAGCAGAGGAGCACAGTGTGATTTTGAAGGAAGGTGGCTCTGCCACAGGAAGGGCGGGCGCCCCGAGGGGAGACACGAGTGGCAGCAGACCAAGGAGGCTGTGTAGGGGAGAGGTGAGACCTGAAGCCAGGCCGCATTCCAGAGTGAGCCTAGATGCTCGCCGGGCTTTCTTGAAGTAAAGAGAAAAGGGGTAAAGTCCAAAAGCAATGGTCCTGCTGAGACCGTTACTGGCTGTGGGAGCCGCAGGGAAGGTCCGGGGTGGGGGGAGGGCAGGCATGGGGGCAAGAGGAGCCTCTTCTGATCTCTCTCTCTCTAGCCCCACCTGCCTCTGCCAAGGCAGTGACTACTCCCACCCTCCACGCCGCTGCCCATCATGATGCAGCTGCCTTGACTCTTTTAGGGACCTTCTTAGGGCCTTGCTTTTGTGACTGGGTCCAATGGCCTGACCTGTGTGAGCTTCCTCTGAGGATGCAGGGACCCGGCAGCGTGAGCTGGCAGAGAAGGTGGATCTGGGAAAGGGGCGTTTCCGGGCCAACAGGTTCCTGATGAGAAAAGGCAGGAATGAAATCAGCCAGCTGCAGAGTGTCTCGGGACACGTGGCCACGTGGCCAGCTCCAGGGGCGGGTGGGTTCCAGAATCTGGATCTGGAGCCCCGGGGGCAGGGACACCAAGAGCTGAGCAGGACAATGAGTGGGTGCTGCTTAGCATGGGCTGCTTCACATACGGGGTGGGTGGGGGTGTAATGTGCTCATCAGGACATCACAGCATAACCTTCATTGACCGAGTGCGTGAACTGGAAACTGTTTCCAGGATAAGAAGGAAGGTGCAGCTTAGTGGCTCCATGGGGACCCAGCACTCTCTTCTGGGCCATGCTGAGCCATATGCTTAGGGCACCATGGCAATTTCCAGAGCCCTCCCCATGTGGGTAGCCGAGTCTCTGACTCAGGAACTGGCCAGACCTCAGCCCACCAGTTAGTCCTCTGGTTCTGCGGGTCTTGAGAAAGGTGTGGCCTGATGACTAGTAAGTCGTAGGAGAGCTTGATCTGTCTGTTTTGGGGGATATTCAGAGACCATTTAATAACGTGCCAATCTCCATGGTGCAATGCTCAGCAAAAATAAAACACAGTATGGGCAACATGCTCAGAATTTTGAGACAAAGATTTATGCATGTAGACATACGAAGCTGGTTTCAAAGGGCTTCACAAAGTCTCCTCCAAGTGTACCTGGGGCTCGTCTGGAAACTCTCACTGTGTTTCCATACCAATCCTCTGCAGGAACCACTGGGGTCTGAGGTTTACAAAAGGATTTTAATAGACCATATTTTTTAAAAATTAGCGTAGGTAGCTGTGAAAGTATTAAGAAGGAAGCATTGCAGGGCGACAGAAAAGCCACATCAGTAGGAAAAAAATAGAGTTTTCTATGTTCTGACTCTTACCTCTTCACGGCTTCCATAAAGTGAGACCTGACTCCTGGACTTTTTCTCATCAATTTTTTTATTTGTGCCTCATATATCATCCTTCGTTCCTTTCACGAGTTCATAAGAAAGCGTATAAAACCATGCTTCCTTAGGCACAATTTCTTCCAACAAGGTGGTTGGGGACAGTTTTAATAAAACATTCATTCAGGTCAGTGAGTTGCTCGTGGAACAGTCAGCACATCCAGGGATGGATGTTAAAGACCTTAAGTAAGGTCTTATCTTTGTGCTGTAATCTGGAAAATTCTCGGGAGACTTATCAGGCTCAGTTCTACAATCATGCAGGAAAATAAATACCCATTTTCCTCTTGCCAGTGTTAACCAACAGGAAAGAGGCAGTCTGCCCCAGTCCCCAAGAAGTCCTTCCTGAAATAAGACCTTAATTACACCTCAAGTCCTCTTACCTGGACCGGACCTCAATCTTGGCTTAAGTCATGTGGACAGATAACCCCTCGATCTGATCCCGTTTTCACCCTCCCTCTGCTCTGTTGGTTGAAGGCTCACCGGACACTAAAAGTGATGGGGAACATTGCTCTCAAGAGCACTGGCAGCTATAATGTATTGAGTCACTCACATATTTCAGGAACGTGCGGTACACGTCGCAAATGGCTTATTTTCACAATAGTTCTGAAAAGCAGATATGGCTGGACCCATTTTCAAGAACAGGAACGGGATGTTGAGAAAGTCAACTCGCCAAAAAGATGCAGCCCGTGCTGACTGAGCCAGGTTACCTGGCGGGGTCTCTTGGCTTCTTCCCTCGGGTCCCCACTGTGTGGTTCCATCTACAACCTCTGTGTGTCCTCTGGAGGAAATGATGACACGTCGGGTCAGGAAGTCCGTGGCCGTTTCATGAGGACATATTGTGTCCTTGTAATTTCTGAATCACTTATAACTAAATATTCTACGAACGGCCTCGCGTGAAGGCAGGGATTATGTGTGCCTTCATACCATTGTATTCCTGACGTATAGCAGAGTACCTGGCATATAATAGTTGCTCAATAAATGCTGATGTCTCTTTTGAGTTAACCTCTATCAAAGAAAACACCTAGTTAGGTAGCTTCTCTGTCCTGCATTGGCTTGTCCTTACTTCGGGCAATCAATCCATCCTTGCTTCCAGAAATACACCGAGCACAGATAGTCCTGCTGGGTTCTTTGCCCCAAAGCCCTTCCCTCCCGTCTCTGCCTGGATCATGCTCATCTCCTTGTGAGGTATCGTCCTTGTCCCCTGAAGGACCCCTCCATCCGTGGTCTCTGTCTCCCAGCTGCTTTCAAACTATTCACATTGTCTTGCTTCTTTAGTTGTCTGTTCTGCATCCCATCCAAGCCCCCCTTCGGTGAGAAGCCACCAGCATCTCCATGACGCACGAGGAGGTGCAGACATGCAGCCAGCTGTTGTGAAGCGGCTTTCCAGGAAAAAAAGTAACATCATAATAATAATAAAAGAAAGAAAGAAAGCAAAAGAAAGAAAGAAAGCAAAAGAAAGAAAGCAAAAGGAAGAAAGAAAGCAAAAAGAAAGAAAACAAAAGAAAGAAAGAAAGCAAGCAAAAGAAAAAAAAAGAAAGCAAGAGAAAGAAAGAAAGCGAAAGAAAGCAAAAGAAAGAAAGCAAAAGCAAGCAAGCAAGCAAGCAAGCAAAGGAAAGAGGCAGAGGCAGACGGGTGATTTTCAGTGTTTGCCTATATCTTTTTTTTTTTTTTTTTTAAGTTTATTCATTTGATAGAGACAAAGAGAGCGAGCAAGGGAGGGGCAGAGAGAGAGAGAGAGGGAGAGAGAAAGAAACCAAAACAGGCCCCGTGCTATCGCCACAGAGGGGCTCAGACTCACCAACCGTGAGATCGTGGCCTGAGTGGAAACCGAGTCCCACGCTCCGGGGCCGGAGCCTCCCGGGTGCCCCACGCCCCACGCCGATCTCGGTGCATAAATCCCCGCCCTGGACTCAGTCTCAAGCTGTGGGAGCGACGCCTCTGAGCCCAGAGCTGCAGGCAAAGGGATGGACACACGAGATGAGCTCCGGTGCCCCAGCGGGCCTCCTTCGTCGCACCACCGCACGAGAAGCAAAGGGCGCGCCGCCCTCCTTAGGATCCTGAAATTCCCAGCGTGGCTTCCGGGGAGGAGGTTGCCGCGAAGGCGGCCACACCACACGTGGCGGGTCAGCCTGATCTCCTTGGGAAGAGAGGGGTAAATTGCCACAAAGGAAGGAAGAAATCCCCGTCTGTTTGCCAACGGGGTTCCCCGCCCCCAAAACCTCTCACAGGGGGCCCCTCGTGGGTGCCCTGAGGCTCCTGGCGGTGCACCCCCACGCCTCTCTGTCCCAGGGTTCAAGGTGGTATTTTTTAAGCTCCTCGGAGGCAACCCCCCCAACTTCCAGGAGGTGGCGCCAGCCACAGGATGCTGTCCTGTTGCCCCCGCCTCCAGATGCCAGCCCCTCGTCAGAGGGGCTCCCTGGTCTGGAATAACGGTGTGTGGGCTACGGCGGGACCGTCCAAGCCACCCTGACAGCCCCGGGAGGGCACACACCAGGCTCTCCTGAGCTCTCCCAGCCCGCCGAGGGGCAGACACACCTCTCTGTTCTGCTCCCTGTCCAGAGGTCACTGTGGGGTAAGCCACGCAGGACATCCAGGGCGGCAGACTCAGGAGCCCAGCGAGAGAGCGGACGGTGGCCCACAAGCCTCTCCCCCAGGGGTCCCCAGATGGGCTAGGTGGCCCAGGCGGAAAGGGCCGGGATTACTCAGAAGAGCACAAGGGTATTCTCTGATTCATTCTCCAATTCCAGGTCCTACGGCGTGGACCCTCCCCACCTCCCCAGGAAAACACCACCAGCCGCAGCCTCTGAAAACCAGTGTCTTCACCTGCCTGTCACCGCAAAGCACCAACTTCAGAGTCTAAAATCAAGGTGATATTAATTCAGGATTTAGAGTTAAGCTTGCTTCGTGCAGTTCTCATATTCAGTTGTGTTTAAAATTAATGTCTCTGTCGGTATCACCAGAAAATATGGGAATCGCTTTCTCCAGGAGAGGAAATCGGGCCAAAAGGCGAGGAGAAGTTTTGTTGTATTCCCCAAAGCGACCTGTAGCCGTGATTCGGTTGCCAGTTGTGGACTCCTTTGTCTACGGGTTGCTGTCATTTGTCGGTAAATGAATTGTAGCCCCTTGCAAAGGACTTGTCTGCAAAAGACTTCATATTTCAAACAGGGTTGTTTGGAGAGTTGGTTACGCAGTTACACCGCCGGAAGCCTTAAGTGGTTCCATTGCATAATCGTAGCAATGTCGGTAGTCATTTGACTCTGTTTTCACGGGAAGATAACGTACTTGTTTTCATTTTACTCCTTCCCTTCAATACGTTTATTAGGCAATGAAATTTGTTCCTTAAGAGTTGGGCTTCCTTAGAATCCCTCACCTGCCCTCAACTGCAGCCTACGAAGGAGATTGACTGTGTATCCTTCCCTGTGGCCTCCTTAGGTTACAGGTGCTAATAGTTATTGTTATTTAATCTCTTAATAATGTGCCCTTATATGTCCCCCTTCTTAAGCGCTGTGTGGTTTGCTCCCCGTAATTAGAAGGTCGACGAGCTACTTTGCCCTGGGAGCTTATCCTCATTGTAAGAAACAACAGCCAAATTATGGGAGGACCCTAAGTGTCCATCGACTGATGAGCGGATAAAGAAATCTGGTTTAAGTACACCATGGAATACTACGTGGCAATGAGAAAGAATGAGATCTGGCCTTTGGTAGCAACGTGGATGGAACTGGAGAGTGTGATGCTAAGTGAAATAAGTCATCCAGAGAAAGACAGGTACCATATGCGTTCACTCTTATGTGGATCCTGAGAAACTTAACAGAAGACCGTGGGGGAGGGGAAGGAAAAAAAAAAAGAGAGGGAGGGAGCCAAATCACGAGAGACTCTTAAAAACTGAGAACGATCTGAGGGTTGATGGGGGTGGGAGGGAGGGGAGGGTGGGCGATGGGCATGGAGGAGGGAACCTGTTGGGAGGAGCACTGGGTGTCATATGGAAACCAATTGGACAATACATTTCATATTGGAAAAAAAAAAGAAGCAATTCTCTCGCCTTGGGGGGTTAACCTGAGTCAGCTGTCACATTAGGGTGGGAGGCAGAGCCCTCTCTGTGGGAGGCTCTGTGACGTCCTCCTGGATGCACTGAGGGCGTTAGACCAGCTGGCTTGATGTTTTCCCTCTGAGCTCCTCCCTTAGCTTGACCTCTGGGTCAGCAGCCCCGTCCTCAGAGTCACAGCCGTGGCAATGGTGTGACTCTGGTCCTGATCACCCCTTCACCTCCGATTTCCGCAGCTGCCCCCTGAGGTCTCGGGCGACTCGGTCGCGGAGGGTGGCCTCTTACCCCTTCCACAGCACTGAGCCAACGGGACTTAAAACCGACGAATTCATCTCAGGGAATGAGCTCCCTGGTTATTGTGTTCTCCCTCTGACTCCACAGATCTTAGACCATAACTGGTGATAAATTCTGAGACTCCAGGAGGAGGGTGAATCGGGAGATTTTGTTTGTTTTTCACAAAGAAAAAAATGAGCAACTGTCATGGTGGCAGCCAGCCAGCCCCACAGGCAATCGTGGTTCATCTCTGTCATTCATTCTGGAAGTCCTTCTTTCTCCCCACCCCTTTCATCCCCAGGCTTCACTCCCAACCCAACATATATTTGGGGAGCCGCGGGATGATGTGAAGAACAGTAAAATAACAAAGGCTGGGGTCAGCGCATTTAGCAGTGTGGACAAGGAGCTCAAAGCAGGTGTATCTTGAAACCCTGTGCCATCAAGTTTCGTTCCCACTCAGGGTCTATCCTGTTCTGTTCTCTACCCCTCCCTCGTTTCCTTCTTTCCTTCCTCATTTCTCTCAGCCTCTTTCTTTCTGCGGGTTGCCTCTGTGGGTCCACTTGGGCAATAAGCTATCTTTTTTTCATATTTAGCAGGAGGAGAAAGAAACCTCATGTCTGTCTTCATCTATTAGCAAAACGTCTGACCCCCTTACCTTGGAGCTTTCATCTGCTTTGGGGACATCGTTTTAAATGTGCCTCGTAAGGGGCACCTGGGTGGCTCAGTTGGTCAAGTGTCTGACTTCGGCTCAGGACGGGATCTCACGGCTCGTGAGTTCGAGTCCCCTGTCGGGCTCTGTGCTGACAGCTCAGAGCCTGGAGCCTGCTTCAGATTCTGTGTCTCTTTCTCTGTCTCTGTCTCTGTCTCTCTCTCTCTCTCCCTGCCCCTCCCTTGCTCATGCTCTCTCTCTCTCTCTCTCAAAAATAAATAAACATTAAAAATAATTTAACTGTGCCTCATCAAATGTGAATGTGGCTGTGGCATCTTGGCCAAGAAATGATTCCATTGTAGCACAAGCCTTGAGACATGCCTTACATTCTAGCTGGATCGGGGTAGTAACGACCCGTTTATGTCAACAGTGGAGGAGAGAGCCTCCAATCCAGATTATGATGTAGTTTACTAAGAGATTTTTGAATCGAATAACCTGCATCTTCGCAGTTTCTTATGAAAACGCTCACAGTGCAAAGGAATACCCCTATGTTCTCCCAGTTTAAAGGAAAAAAGGAAAAAACAAAAACAAAACATGACTCCCTAAGAAACTCATGTTCTTTCATTGAAGTCGGCCGACTGCGTAAAGTCATCTAACAAATGTTTTCTCTCTGACTAAAGAGTAACCTCAGCTTCCGGAATGAGTCCTTTAGTTCTCTTGCCTTAGTTTTCTGTTGTGTAAAAAAATCAGCATAAATGTGATGGCTGCAAATCACGCCAGTTTGCTAGCTCTCTGTTCTACGGATCAGAAAAAGTCCAGCTTGGAGGGCGATGAAAACAAATAACGGGAACCGTGGTGTGATTGACGCATTGCAATCTCCCGCGGCAAATGGGGCCCGAACCTCAACAGACATTGCAAGTAACATTAGAATTGCCTGTGGCCGGAAGCCCTCGTCGTTATTATCTGTGCCAAACTGGCTTCGCCCCTTGGAACTCTGAATCATTTACTTCTCGAGCCAACGGGCCAAATACCAACTACTTCAAGTCTGTTAGAATCCGGTGAAGTAGATAACGAGGCACTTGAAATATATCAAATGGTAAACGATTTGGTATCAGGCACTCTGGTTTACTCTGCTTTCAACAGGGTGCCCTCTCTGGGGCTGGCATGGTGTTCCTTTTGAAGCTCCCTCTCCGCCTTTAGTCAAAAACCGTGGCAGGTACCTGCGTGGCTCCGTCGGGTAAGCCTCCGGCTTCAGCTCAGGTCAAGATCTGACCGTTCGTGAGTTCGAGCCCCGCGCTGGGCTCTGTGCTGTCCGCTCGGAGCCTGCTTGGGATCCTCTGTCTCCTGCTCTCTCCGCCCCTCCCCTGCTCGTGCACATGTGCTCGCGCTCTCAAAAAAAATAAACATAAAACACACACACACACACACACACACACACACACACACACACAAAACAGTGACGATTAGGGCTCTGGGGCTACTCATCCTCACCTGGAACTCGTCAGAAATGCAAATTCTCCAGCCCCATCTGCTGATTCGAGACTCTTGGGGTGGGAACCCACAATCCATGGTTTGACCAGCCCAATAGGTCATTCTGATGCTGACGTAAGTTTGGGTGTACAGGGACTCTCGGTCCTTCTAAAACTAACACACTGCATAAAGTTTTGCCTCCTTTAATGTGTAACGTCCGTAATGAGTCCTAGTCATGCACGTCAAATATGGGACCTCCCTGAGGTCGGTGCGCACGCACTGAATGCAGCGTTCGTGGTGGGTGCAGACACTCTCCAGGTAAGCAGATCTGATGTCACACAATCCTGACATCTAACGTGATGGGATGCGTGGGACCTGTCTTTCCACAAACTGCGCCTGAAAATTGATGGCAATAGGCAACACGAGGCAATGCTCTTGTGTTTGTTTTGTTTTGTGTTGTTTTTTTTTAGTGATCATGTATACGCCTCTT